ATGAGGAAACAATGGTGTAGGATTATTTGTAGACGTGTAACTATTTGTCATTTAAGACGAGAGAGAGTATTGCTAACTATGAATTTTGTGTGTGTGTGTGTCTTTTTAGAACTGTTATTTATAAAGTGTGTTTAAGACTGAGTAAAAAATCAGAAGTAGTATCTCTGAGATTTAACTGACTCAGTGAGCCTGAATTCAGAGTCCGTGTGGTTGAAGTTGTAGTTGCTCAACCAAAATGTAATAATAACAACAATGGGTGTGGTTTTTTGGATATGGACAAACACTTGACAAAAGCGAAGAAAATAATAGTAAACCGACAAACGTCTTTTTATAAGCGTAATAAAAATTATTTTATCTAGAGAACAAACCACAGTAGAATAATTTTCATTATGTTTATAAATCGTTGTTTGTCATACTGTATTAGCATAATGTGCTTCTATATACAAACGGTAAAGAAAGTGTACACCATAACTTGTATTATTTCTAGTATTACTCCCAATAAAACCTTTGGTTAACTATCGCTTATTCGTCATAATTTCAAAAGAACTTATTTTCTTACGTAACACTTTCGTCTTTACATATACACACTTGTTTTCTCTGTTAATGACTGAAGTAGTTCCTTTCTTCACGACAAAATATATATTTACATATCAGAATCACGGAAGAAATTATGTATGTGAATAAGGGAGTGATAAATAAGAATAATATGTAGAGGAGAAAGCTTAAGAAACGTTATTTATGTCTATTTGTACTGTAAAACGACAACAAAGTCCAAACAGGATACAGTTTCATAATCAACTCTAAGTATAGTTAGTTCTGTTTGCTTTAGATTTACACTTATACTCAGGTCAAGGTTATGTTCATTAATTGTATTTAACATCATCTGGTGTAAATATGTACCAGATGATGCAACGTTAATGGCGGCGAAACCTAGTTTTATTGTATTTCTTTCTGTCCCATTTTAGCTGTTTTTAACTTTTAAAGCGCGTGGAATACCCCCAGCTTTTTCACAGTAACTATATTTACATATGTTTATTAGTGAATATAAGCATTACTTTAATGACCCCGGCCAAGTGGTTGCTTTGTGTAAACGCACCCTCGTGAGTTCATCAACTGGGCGTAATGTGTCCGTACGATTTTTTTAGCATGGTCAACACATTTATTTTGGGTTGTTATGTTTTTGTTGTTAACTTTTTTATCACATGACTTAATATTTATAGATATAAGCACATTTAAGTGAACTGATATTAATCTGAGTTCTGAGATATATTAGAATGTAAACTACCCCTGATAATGTTCTTTCACTTGGTGAGATATATTAGAATGTAAACTACCCCTGATAATGTTCTTTCACTTGATGAGATATATTAGAATGTAAACTACCCCTGATAATGTTCTTTCACTTGGTGAGATATATTAGAATCTAAACTACCCCTGATAATGTTCTTTCACTTGATGAGGTATATTAGAATGTAAACTACCCCTAATAATGTTCTTCCACTTGGTGAGGTATATTAGAATGTAAACTACCCCTGATAATGTTCTTCCACTTGGTGAGGTATATTAGAATGTAAACTACCCCTGATAATGTTCTTCCACTTGGTGAGGTATATTAGAATGTAAACTACCCCTGATAATGTACATAAGGACGTAATATTTATTGTGAAACTGTCCCAAGTAAGTTTCTTGTTATAATTACTGTATAGAAGTAGTCTAGACTTTGTATGAATATATTTACCTCTTGTTACAGTTACTGAACATTTCTAGAAGATGCAGTAACCTAAATCCAATAAATAGTTTCGAAAAACTTGATGCTGTAAAGGGGTACGTTAAGAACCCCATTTGAGAGGTATTCTTATAGTCTTTAATTATTGGGTAAAAAGTATATTAGAAGTCGTTTGTTCACTCTGAAAGCTGTACATTGAACCTTTATTATCCAGTTTACAGCTGACTACGCTGTCTTCTCAGCATCATCTATATAAATGGAAATCCAAAATAGAGGTATACAATTGTCGATTAAATCCCCAAGCGGCAAATGGTATCACAACCATAATGTTTGACTACTTAGTGTCGCTAATGTTATTTTTATAGTCATTTCAGCAATTACAGAAGCCCAATTTTGACACATGGTTGTAAAACGAATGTGGAGAAAAGGTTTAGTTTGTAGTTAAGCACGAAGCTACACAATGGACTATCTGTGCTATGCCCACCACGTGTATCGAAACTCGGTTTCTAGCACTGTGGAGGGGGGGGGGGGCATGGAGAAAAAGGACAAAGTGATACCATGTGATTTAAGCCTTGTCTCGCTACTTCAGTGTTACTCTAATATTCACTAATTCAACATGTTATTACTATAATCTCAGTATAATAGTAAAACTATTTCACTGAAATATGTGCACAGTCGACATGTTAATTTTGTTATTACAAAACCCTATGTAATAAAACTTTGTGGGCTATCAAATCGTACATCGAAGTGTTAAGATAACAAGAAAGTTGGTGATCCAACGCCCACGTTTCGATACTGAACTCTGGTATCGTGAAACTCGGCTTGCGTCACTTTTTCTTTAGCTGTTGAAATCGAGTTTATTGTTTGTCTGATTACAGTAACACCTGATAACGAAGTTCGAATTATACAATGAAAATAGGTTTAATACGCCAACTTGAGTACAGTTTTAGTCGTACTACACTGATCGTTCAGACGGTAAAGATGAGGAAACAGTAGAAATATTTAGTAACCAACTTTGGATTTTTTTTATTTTAAGGAATAAGGACCAAGTTGTATAACACTAATATAAAAATTGTGTAAGCTTTTAGTGTCAGTCATCATTTTAAATTATACTAGTATTAGTGGATTCTACTATAAAAACTGGTAATTTAGATTGGATGGATGGATTTTAATACAAAATATCGTTTCATACAATTGGATTCTAGTATAACATTATTAAAGACTGACAGTTGAAATTAGATCGGTGGATTTTAGTATAAAAACTAGCAGTTCAGATAAGCAAGTAGATTTTATTTTTAGTAAAAATTTCATTGAAACTATACAAGTGGAATCTAGAATATAATAGTTGACTGGTCAGAGAAGATTTGTGGATTCTATAAAAAGAGAGTGTTCAGATTTGGCTTATGGATTCTGTGGAACATTAATAGTATTATGAAATAAAGGGATCTTGGTGTTCTGGTTGATCAGTCTTTAAAGCCATCCAAGCAGTGTACTGTTGCTAGTGGCAGGGCAAATAGGATTTTATGTTGTATCTACAGAAATATTGAATATAAGTCTAAAGAGTTTATAATTTAATTGTATAGGTCATTGATTAGGCCACATTTTGAGTACTGTGTTCAGTCTTGGGCTATTTACCATAGAACAGTGGTTCTCAAAGTATGGTTTGCAAAAGTTCTCCAGTTGGTCAACAGGCTGGTCCAAAGTGCAAATTTCATCGAAAGCAGTGCCATTTTTCCCATTAATTCTGAGGAGTTGTTTTGCAGTAGCAACTGAAAGTGGATGGGTAGGTGATCCATGGTTTGTTTTTCCCTGCTAAAGTGGTCTGCGGATCAAAAAGTTCGAGAAACACTGCCTTAGAAGGACATAGAATTATTTGAAAGGGTTCAGAAGAGGGTTACTAGTGATACTTGGATGAAGAGGTTGTCTTGTGAAGACTGATTAATATCTTTGAAAGGGTTCAGAAGAGGGTTACTAGGTTGATACTTGGATGAAGAGGTTGTCTTGTGAACACAGATTAGTATCTTTGAAAGGGTTCAGAAGAGGGTTACTAGGTTGATACTTGGATGGAGAGGTTGTCTTGTGAAGACAGATTAATATCTTTGAAAGGGTTCAGAAGAGGGTTACTAGGTTGATACTTGGATGGAGAGGTTGTCTTGTGAAGACAGATTAATATCTTTGAAAGGGTTCAGAAGAGGTTACTAGGTTGATACTTGGATGGAGAGGTTGTCTTGTGAAGACAGATTAATATCTTTGAAAGGGTTCAGAAGAGGATTACTAGGTTGATACTTGGTTGGAGAGGTTGTCTTGTGAAGACTGATTAATATCTTTGAAAGGGTTCAGAAGAGGATTACTAGGTTGATACTTGGATGGAGAGGTTGTCTTGTGCAAGACTGTTTTCTCTTGAAAAATTGAGTTAGATTGTTAAGGGAGTTAGTGGTATTGATGCATTATCATTTTTTTTAACATAATGGTAAGAATACAAATATAAATTTTGGCTAGGTATGAGTCATCTTCAGCAAAGATGTTTGGCCTTTGGAATATGTTACCTCCATATGTGGTGGATGCAGTAAATTTAAGGGAAGGATTGATAAGTTCTTAAATGGTAAAGGCTGGCTTTGAGTTTGTTTTTATATACTTGAAAGTTATGTTTTATACACTGAAAGCTGGCAACGGGTTAAACTAATAGGTCTAAAATTTGTGATAAAAATCACATTAACTGCAAATTTTTGCATCCCACATTCGTCCCAATTTGTCCACTTAGATTCAAAATTATAAGCATGAAATGCTCTTTTCACACGTCTCTGATTGAGAATAAAGAATGGACAGATTGAGAGAAATCTGGAAAAAAACGACATTGAAATTAACATGTTGTTTAGTTTTTTCAAATTTTAGGTCTGTTAGTTTAGTGGATAGGACAGCCTAGATAGACCACAAGTTCATTGTTCTTCTAAAGGACAGCTTAGATTACATAACGTTTTGGGACCTATTGGTCCATCTCGGTTGTTCCATCCTCTACACTAAACTAAAACTTGTTCTTCTTAAGTTTTATTTTATATTTCATATTGATTCAATTATACAAGACTACAGTGTGTTATCATTACTGATGCTGAAATTGAATGTATGTTTGTTAACTGTAAGGTTAAAATGTCTGAAACTTTTCCTTTGTAAAGCCTGTTAAAATCTGTTATCAGTTTGGGAACTGTATTTATATAAATGCTACTCCATAATACAAATTATGTTTTTGTTAAATTATTTTTCTTACTTTTTCTTTAAGATGGTGACATAAAGAATAAAAGGGATATAAAAAAACGTTCTGGTTTTCTGAAAAAACTGAGGCCCAAGAAACAAAGGCGATTGACAGAGCACAAAACATTTGAAGTAGAGCCATCAGTTCCTTTTATTGACGGATGTACTTCTTCTCCTAACATTAGAAGGAATCGACGATTCAGGCCAGGAAGACGTCTTCAGAACATGTGGTCTACCATGAAAGGTCTTGCAAGAAGAAATTCACCAAAAAAGCAAAACGAAAAGCAGAGTAATTGGTATGTTACAGATACCACTGAAGCAGCGTGTTCAGTCACGGATTCAGAAGGGTCACAGGACCAGATGAGACTGGGTAGTGACTCTCCTTTGAAGAGATTAAGCCATAGCGTACCCAACATTCACCAAGCTGCATGTAGCACAGGCGGTTCAGCTGTTACTGGAGAATGTGAAGTTAGCTTCACTGGGAATGACATGGTTAAAAGTAACAGTAGTATGGTACATGTATTTGTGAGTTTTAACAGTAGAACAATATAACGAACCTGGTTTTTATTAATAATATATGAACTGTAATGTATTTAAAGTAAGGAGACTTGATACATAAACTGATCTCAGTCTAAACCTTTTTTTTTTCATGTACTGTAGATGATGATGTGTAGTATAAAGTATGGATCCATTAAAACAATATTAAAATGTAATGTAATAGTATAGTATAAAGTATAGATCCATTAAAACAATATTCAAATGTAATGTATTTAATATTATAAAGTATGGATCCATTAAAACAATATTAAAATGTTATGTATTTAATAGTATAAAGTATGGATCCATTAAAACAATATAAGCATGTAATGTGTTTAATAGTATAGTATAAAGTATAGATCCATTAAAACAATATTCAAATGTAATGTATTTAATAGTATAAAGTATGGATCCATTAAAACAATATAAGCATGTAATGTGTTTAATAGTATAGTATAAAAATATTGTTTTAATGGATCCATACATACATTACATTCTAATATTGTTTTAATGAATCCATACTTTATACTATACTATTAAATACATTACATTCTAATATTGTTTTAATGGATCCATACTTTATACTATACTATTAAATACATTACATTCTAATATTGTTTTAATGGATCTATACTTTATACTATACTATTAAATACATTACATTCTAATATTGTTTTAATGGATCCATACTTTATACTATACTATTAAATACATTACATTCTAATATTGTTTTAATGGATCTATACTTTATACTATACTATTAAATACATTACATTTGAATATTGTTTTAATGGATCTATACTTTATACTATTAAACACATTACATTCTAATATTGTTTTAATGGATCCATACTTTATACTATACTATTACATTACATTCTAATATTGTTTTAATGGATCCATACTTTATACTATACTATTAAACACATTACATTCTGTAATTCTATTTTCAATCTGTAAAATACCTGCCGATCTTCACAACATAATTCTATACTAAAAATGCTTTAACCAAATTTCATAAGATTGGTTGATGCTATGATGGAGAAGGAATGTAGGCTATAATTCTGAATTTACTATGTTTATCTACACAAAATGCTTTGAGTAATTATATACAAGTCTGTCATACACAGAATATCAGATGTGCCACAAAAGTATCTGTACTCAAGATACATCTGTGAATTGATAACATCAATCTGATTCAGACTCTGAGGTCTAGGAATGCAAATTGATGTTCATGTGAAGAATAAAAATACTTTTGTTCATTGTACAGTTTGCATATTGTATTTACATAACCTCTAGAGCCTCCAGTTTTTTCAGTATCACTGTACACTGTATCTACTATTCACTCTCCTCCATCATGGACTGTTGCTAAGTCAACAATGTAGGGTAAAAATCTTAATCATTTACTTAAAAGTTTCTCAAATTCCTCAAAACAGTTATGGTACTGAGTTTCTTAATTTAAGTTTACTTTTTCTCTAACACTTAAAGTGTCGTGTATATACGTGAAGAGAGGTAATGTAAATCCTTTAATTCCTACTTTAGGAAAGCACGATACAGAAATCTCACCTGTCTCCTCATCAGTACGTTGATTACATATTAGATATTCATCTGTATTCTGGGCATGACTTAATAGCTAAAGATTTTTGTGGTGAGTATATTTTTGGTTTCATCCTAGTGAATACTAGACTCCTCATTTTGTTAAATGTATTAATGTGTAGGATTTTATACTGGATCTGTTGTTTTAGTTTTTTGTTAAACATAGATACCAGGTATTGTATCAAGTTAACACATTATTTTTACTTTAACATGAAAGTTGAGTATCTAAAAAAACAAAGTTTTATTTTAGTTAGCTGTAATATGTATTAAAAAACATCAATGCTTTTATGAATTTCAGGTTTCATTAGTTTTTGTGTACCTTATTTTGATAAATTAATTTTAAATACCACTGATACCATTAAATACCATTCTGTGAGCAAATATATGTTGAAACTTTGTTACAAGTTGTATATACATATAGACATCATCTCCTATGTAAATCAGTGTTACATATAGATACCATCTTCCATACGTCTTAGTGCTATATATATATACACCATCTTCCATATGTCTCAGTGTTACATATAGACACCATCTTTCACATCTTAGTGTTACATATAGACACCATCTTCCATGTGTCTTAGTGTTAAATATATACACCATCTTCCATATGTCTCAGTGTTAAATATAGACACCATCTTCCATATGTCCCAGTGTTACATATAGACACCATCTTCCATATGTCTCAGTGTTACATATAGACACCATCTTCGTCTTAGTGTTACATATAGACACCATCTTCCATGTGTCTTAGTGTTAAATATATACACCATCTTCCATATGTCTCAGTGTTAAATATAGACACCATCTTCCA